AATATCCCTGATGAACACAGATGCAAAAATTCTCAATAAAATACCAGCTAACTGAATCCAACGGTACTTTAAAAATCATTCACCACAATCAAGTGGAATTTCTTCCTTGGTTGCAAGGGTGGTTGAATATTTGCAAATTAATCAATGTGTTATGTCACATCAAGAGAAAGGATAAAGAACCATATGATCATTTGAGTAGATACAGAAAAAGCATTTGCCAAAGTACAGTATCCATTCATAAAAAACTCTCAACAGAATAGGTTTAGAGGGACTGTACCTCAATATCATATATGAAGAACCCACAGCTAATATCATCCTTAATGGAGAAAAAAACTGAGAGCCTTTTCCCTAAGGTCAGGAACAAGGTGAGGTTGTCCACTCTCACTGCTTTGTTCAACATAGTACTGGAAGTCCCAGCCATAGAAGTCAGACAACAAAAAGAAATAAAGGCATCCAAATCAGTATGGAAGAAGTAAAAGTATCACTGTTTACAGATGACATGATACTGTATATAGAAAACCCAAAAGATTCCACCAAGAAACTGCTTGAATTGATAAATGAACTCAGTAAAGTTTCAGGATGCAAAATCAATCTACAGAAATCTGTTGCATTTCTACACTAATAATGAAATAGAGGAAAGAGAAATTAAGAAAACATTCCCATTTACAATTGCACCAAAAATAATAAAATACCTAGGAATAAACTTAACCAAGGAGGTGAAAGGTCTGTACTCTGAAAACTGTAAAACACTGATGAAAGAAATTGACAATGACACAAACAAATGGAAAGATATTCCATACTCATTAACTGGAAGAACAAATATTGTTAAAATGTCCATTCTATCCAAAGTAATCTATAGACTTAATGCAATCTCTATAAAAATACCAATAGCATTTTCCACAGAACTAGAACAAACATTTCTAAAATTTGTGTGGAACCACAAAAGACCCTAAATAGCCAAAGCAATTTTGAAAAAGAGGAAGAAATGAAACTGAAGGTATCACAATCCTAGATTTCAAGATATGCTACAAAGCTGTATTAACAAAAGCACTATAATACACAAAAAACAGACACATAGATAAATGGAATAGAATAGAGAGCCCAGAAATAAACCCATGATTATATGGTCAATTACTCTTCAACAAAAGAGGCAAGAATATACAATGGGTAAAAAACAATCTCTTCAAAAAATGGTGGTGGACAAACTAGGCAACAGTATGCAAAAGATTGAAACTGGACCCCTTTCTTACACTATTCACAAAAAATAAGGTCAAAATGGATTAAAGACCTAAATGTGAGACCTGAAATCATAAAAATCCTAGAAGAACACAGGCAGTAATTTCTCTGAAATCGATCATAGCAACATTTTTCTAGATATGTCTCCTTAGGCAAGGGAAACAAGCAAAAACAAACTATTGGGACTACATCAAAATAAAAAGCTTCTGCACAGCAAAGCAAACAGTCAACAAAACTAAAAGACAACCTACTAAATGAAAGAATATACTTGCAAATGACATACCTGATAAAGGATTAGTATCCAAAATATATAAAGAACTGATATAACTCAACACCCAAAAAATAATCCAATTTAAAAATGGGCAGAAAGCATGAACAGTCATTCTCCAGAGAAGCCATACAGATGGCCAGCAGACATTTGAAAAGATGCTCAACATCACTCCTCATCAGGGAAATGCAAATTAAAACCACAATGAGATGATACGTCATACCTGTCAGAATGGCTAAAATCAACAACATAAGAAACAACAAGTGTTGGTGAGGATGTGGAGAAAAACTGGAGCCTTCATGCACTGTTGTGGGAATGCAAATTGGTATAGCTACTGTGGAAAACAGTATGAAGTTTCCTCAAAAAATTAAAAATAGAACTATTATATGATCCAGTAATTCAACTACTGGAATTTACTCAAAGAACACAAAAACACTGATTCTAAAAGATACATGGACCCCTGTGTTTATTGCATTATTTACAGTAGCCAAGATAGGGAAGCAATGTAAGTGTCCATTGATAGATGAGTGGATGAAGAAGATGTGGTATATATACACAATGGAATATTTTTCAGCCATAAAAAGAATGAAATCTTGCCATTTGCAACAACATGGAGGGATCTAGAGAGTATAATGCTAAGTGAAATAAGTCAGTCAGAGAAAGACAAATACCATATGATTCCACTTATATGTGGAATTTAAGAAGCAAAAGACCAAAGAAAAAAAGAGACAAACCACAAAAACAGATTCTTAACTATAGAGAACAAACTGGTAGTTATCAGAGGGGTGGGTAGATGAGGGAAAATAAGTGAAAGGGATTAAGAGTACACGTATCATGGGGTGCCTGGGTGGCTCAGTTGGTTAAGCATCAGACTCTTGATTTTGGCTCACATCATGATCTTACAGTTCATGAGATTGAGCCCTGTGTGAGCACAGAGACTGCTTGAGATTCTTTCTGTCCCTCCCATATGTATGTGCGCATCTATGTACTCTCTAATAAATAAACATTTTAAGAAAAGAGTACACATATCGTGATGAGCACTGAGTATTGTATAGAATTGTCAACTCACTATATTGTATACCTGAAACTAATATAATACTACGTTAATCGTACTGGAAGTAAATTTTAAATGTTTTTTTATTATTTTTTTTTATTTTTAGAGAGTGCAAGTGGGGAGAGTGGCAAAGGGAAAGAGAGAGAGAGAAAGAGAAAGAAGGAATCCCAAGCAGGCTCCACACTCATTGCAGAGCCCAATGTGAGGCTCAATCCCACAACCCTAAGATCATGACCTGAGCTGAAATCAAGAGTCGGATGTTCAGCTGACTGAGCCACCCAGGCATCCCTGTACTGGAATTAAATTTAAAAATTCCTTTTAAGTTTATTTATTTATTTAGAGAGATAGAGGGCATGAGCAGGGAGAAGCAGAGAGAAGGAGAGAGAGATTGCAAAGCAGGCTCAGCACTATTAGCGCAGAACCGGATGTGGGGCTTGAACTCACGAACTGTGAGATCATGACCTGAGCCGAAACCAAGAGTCAGACGCTTAACTGACTGAGCCAGCCAGGCGCCCCTGTAATTAAATTTTAAGAAGTTGCTTCTTGTTTAATCATTTACATATATCTGTGTGCTAGAATATGTATTTAGTTTTTGAACTTTAAAGGGTATGATGCAGCGCATAGCTTTTTTAGTATCTTATTTTTCTCCACAGGAAAGTCTTGGGTCTTTTCAGTGATCTTCCTGCTGCAGGTTGTGTGTTTAATCTTCAGTGGAGAGGGTAGAAGTGGGTTTCCATTTTTCCTTCTCTTTTCTAGACTTGTGCTTAGTAGGTATCCTGTGCTGTGATGAAAGAAGGTTGGTTAATACCATCTTCGCTCTTGAGGAACCTATTTTTTCTGTAAAGAAATTAAAGAACTACATGAAACTTTCAGAGGACAATTAACATACTAAAGTTTTTACCATTGACAAAACATGGAGCAAAATTTTAGCCAAGGGACAGTTCCCTGTGGGCTGGACATGGCATTCCCCAGCTTGGACCCTTTCTGAATAGATCCGAATCAGGTGAGGAAACAGAGAATGCTAAGAGCCTGAGGAAGTTGAAGAAGTGAAAACAAGTGTGGAAACCGTTTGGAGCCCATCCTGACTGGAGCAGAAGGTGATGCTTGAATGTCTGGGAATAATCCAGATAAGGAGGCTGTGCCAGGTGTTGAAAGCCTGTAAAGCACCCAAGAGGGCTTAGACCAGGTGTGGCCGCATGGTGATGGTGGTCTAGACAAGGCAATAGATGGCACAAGGAAAGGAAAAGAAGGGAAAAATGGAAAGACAGTTTGAAGGAAGAAATTAAACCTAAAGATGGGTTTAAAAGAATATGAGGGGTATGAAGGGTTATAAGGGAGAAACAAAAATCATAAATAGCTTACTGTGAACAGCACCTGTCCCTACTGTGCCAGCTACGTTAAATGTCCTTTGATCCTTGAGCATGCCTGGGTTCCCTCTGTCACATTAGGGCCTTACACACGTGCTGTCCTCTTTGCTGGGAAAACACACTCTTCTTCCCTTCCATCTGTCCGCTGCCCAGACTCCCCTGGTTAACTCCAGCTCAGCCTTTGTCTTAGTCCACATTCCTCCTGGTGTCCTTCTCAGACCCACTGCTCAGACTAGACTAGATACCCCTCCCATGTGCTTCTGTCATCACTCACCCTGTTTTGTTTTGGTTTCGATTTTTTTGTGTTTTTAAACTAAACTCTAGACTTGACTCCGATTTCACCAGTTTTTCCATTAACGTAACGCCCTTTTTCTGTTCCAGTTTCAAGTCCAGAAATCACGTTGTATTTAGCTGTTGTATGTCTTCAGTGACCTCTGATCTGTGACAGTTTCTTAATCTTTCCTTATTTTTCATGACCTTGACAATTTTCAGGAATACGGGTCACACATATTTTGTGGAAACCCAGTTATATTTTAATTACATAATTTCTTCTCAGTCTTTTGGTTAGAATATCAGGGCAGTCTATGAGGGCAGATGCCATGTGGCTGTCTTATACACTTTGGTGTGTCTAATACCTAGTATATACTGAATAAATATTTGGTGAGTGAGTGAACTCTTACCTATTCTGCTGTCTTACTAGGAAATGAAAGATGATTCCGACAGTGAAAAGCAGCAACAGATCCATCACATTAAGAACTTGTATGCCTTCAACCTCTTCTGCCAGAAGCGTTTTGATGAGTCCATGCAGGTCTTTGCTAAGCTTGGCACAGGTAACAAGCGGGTATGGCCCTGGGATAAGGACTTCATGGAGGGAAGGGAAACTGGAAAGCACAGAAGAAGTGATACTAGACATCTGAGACCAGTGCTCATGTCAATTGATCCTCATGCCTCACAGGATCTGGTGGGTGACCACAGGTTATATATTTACAGCCCTCATCTTGTGCATCTGGTCTCACCCGTAAACACAGACTTCCAGTTGCCCACAGTGGTTTACCCGTGCCATTAGAGAAAGAAAACAGAAAGTAATTCAAGTGAACAAGTGTGTATTCAGTCATCTAGTATTTATTGAATGCTGTTCTAGGCAAAAGTCCCTGACCTGAGCTTAGTAGGATTAAACAGTAGGTTACTTTTGAGAGTCACACAAGGCAGTGCTGCAAAGCCCTTCCTGTTCTCAGAGACCTACAAACTCTCTAGACATTAGAACATGGTTGTGAGGGGCAGGTACGCTGGCGTCTGACTGTTGACCTCAGGCAAAGTTAGCGGACCTCTCTGTGTTCCAGTTTTCTCCTCTGCAAAGCAGGTGAATAATAATACTTAAAGCATTGTGAACATTATGTAAAGTGCTTAGAACAGTGCATGGTACAGGATAAATGCCAAATAAAGTTAGCTTGTTGTTAGTATTAAATTGTTTTGTTTCTGTATACTCTATTTTGGCTTAATTTAGGTCCATTTATATATACTTGGTTTGACTCTATATAATATTTATCCCTTCTTCTTTTGTTTTGCCTTTTTTTCTCCTTCCCTCATCATTGGCCAATAATGAGCTAAAGATAACTCCCTGTATCAGTTAAGGTTCTTGGTTGTGAGCAATGGAGACCAGTTCTGGTTAATTAAAGCAGTATCTGGATAAATGAAGCGTGGTTTCTTGGAATATTAGGAGAATGGTAGGTAGACACAAAATTAATGGAGACCAGGCTTTGGGAATGATAGGAACCAAGGGAGCTCCGGAGAACCTCCCAACAAGAAGCAGGGAGCTGGACAGCAGTCCCTTTGGAACCAGGACAGGCTGAGCAGTCCTCCACTGGCACTGTTACTTCCTGAGCTGTTGCTACCGCCTGTTACCACATCCTCAATGAAAATTGCCCCTCACCAGCTTGTATTAGCTATCTAATGCCAAAGCTTAGTGGCGTAAAATAACAAATCATCTGTTATCTCTCCCGGTATGTGTTATGGTTAGGAATTTGGGAAGGAATCAGCTAGGCAGTTGTTGCTTGGGATTTCTCGTGTAGTTGTAGTTGTATGTTGGCTTGGCTGTCTTCATCTGGAGTCCTGACTAGGCTAGAGGATCCACTTCCAGAGTGGCTCATTCTCATAGCTGACAAGTTGGTGCTGGTTGTGAGCTGGAGGCCTCAGTACTTATCCAAGTGGGTCCCTCTGAGTGTCCTCATTCCTAGTGACTGGCTTTTCCTGGTGTGAGCAATCCAAGAGACCTCAGTGGAAGCCTCACTGCCTTTTATCATAGTCACTTCTGCCATATTCTTATGTGTTCAAGGCAGGGGAACACAGACCCTACCTCTTGCTGGAGGAGTATCAACATTACATAAAAGAACCATATAGGCTGTGATCTTTGTTGGTGTGTACCATAACTGCTTGTCATCCTTGAGTCACTTTCTCAAGATTAAGGGTATCTAATTGACCAGGATTGGGTCATAGTCTCACACCTTCTGACTTTACTAGGGGTGGGGAAAGAGGTTGTGGCTACCCTTTGCTTCTGAAGGCAAATGTAGGTGCCTAGAACTATTCTCCAAGACCACATGTGGTATGGAAGAAGGAGCTCACCTATTTAAGAAGAGGGGTGAAACCTGGGCAACCTGAATCAATAAATTTGTACCATCCTTCCTCTGAATGAACTCATTTGGGACATTTATTTTCAGTGTTCTACCAGCTCTTTGGGAAAACACTAGAATAATAAGCTATAAATGCCATAGTAACTTGGTACTTTTTCTATGTACCAATGGTAATTGAACCCCAATCCTAAAGCTTTAAAGTCAGTCTTAATGAAGTTATTATCTTTTAATTTATTCATTCCACAAATACATACAGTGCAGTGCACTTCATTGGGCTCCAAGTAACTTTAACCAGACAAATTCTGCTTTCAAAGAACAGTCTTGTAGGGAACTAAGGCCCAAGTGGACCCTTACCAGTGGCAGGAGGAGATGTGTGCTGGTGGTGATGTTGTCTAGTGGGCAGCATCTCCATTGACCTCAGACTAAGGTCTGGTCCTCAGGTCCAGAAGTGGATGTTCTTAGTATAGCCAGAGATCATCGGACTACCAGTATAGTCTGACCCTGACGAAAATCACATGAGACCAATATATTAACAGAATATCCCTTTATTTATTTACAGTAGAGAGGCCAGATCTCTTTCCAGTGGCTAGAATATTCATACAGGGCACCCAGGGCACTCTTTTTTATGTGTATTGAGGTACAGGCATTTTGTTATGATGCTTTGAATGTGGTTCTGCAAAACCTTATATTCTATAATAAATAACTCGTGTAGGGGCGCCTGGGTGGCTCAGTCGGTTAAGCATCTGACTCTTGATTTCGGCTCAAGTCGTGATCTTACAGTTCATGAGATTGAGCCCCATGTTGGCCTGTGCTCTGACAGCACAGGATTCTCTCTCTCTGCCCCTCTCCTGCTCGCTTGTTCTCTGTCTCTGTCTCTCTCTCTCTCTCTCTCTCTCAAAGTTTAAAATAAATAAATCCTTAATGGGACATAACAGGGCTTGTGGGAAAAATGGGATTGGGGCAGACCACTCAAGACATAGGCAACTTTGTAAGTGGAACACTAATTAAAACAATAACGGCCCTACTAAAACTAAATTCCCACTGGTGTTGGTACCCAGCATGACAGTGCTTGGCAATCTTGAATCCTGGGGCTGTGCTTTCTCCTTTGAGATACAAATCTTTGAGAATATTTGCTTCTAATAGAAACTAGTTTCATCAAAATAAAGCGTCTCATCCTGGATATAGACTTCTTTATAAGCCCTCAAATAATTAATATGGGGAGAACATCTTTGCTTCATTTTGACTCTCAGCTTTTGCAGGTGGTTTAACTTAATAAAAAGTGTAGCGGTTTCGAAGCTACTAACCAGCCACTCCTTGGGCTAAAAAAGGTCACTTTTCAGTCCTTTCTTTAGGTCTCCCATTGTAATTAGGCTTTCTCTTTAATTATGAGGAAGCTTGCCTGGTCACTTGAAAACACTAACAAGTTGGGGAAATTTGCATACAAACAGACACAATTTTTGCCTCATAATGATCTCATTCTCCCACTTACCAACTGTGCATGAACTAATTCACATGAAAGAAACTCAGGTTGTAGCAGAAAAGAGTGTACCTGGGATGCTAAGTCAGAAGAATGCTTCAAGAGCACAGAATGGGAGCAAAAGGAAGTTTTGTGGAGGCATGTTCTGAGCCAGAGCGAGGCCAGGCTACAGAAAAGTCTCAAATGGCTGGAAAATAATACTACCGGGCCCAGTGTCCTTTCATCCCTCTAGTATAGGATGGACTGGGCCCAGGTTTGCTTTCCTGCCCTTTCCTTTCCTGTGTTCCACGGATAGGCTTCCTACAAGGGTGTCCTATTTCTAGCTTTTATGAGTCAGGAAGAAGCTGTGTCTCCTGCCACTGGGGACATGGGACCTGTGAGTGGGCTTTATCAAATCTATAAACCACCCTAGACTTAATACAAAAAATTTTTCATGTGTGGTTTTTCTACAGAGAGGATCAGGACCTCTTATCAAATTCTTTAAGATGTTTTAGATCCTAAAGATGTTTAAGAACCAATATTTTAGCAGTATTTCCTTGTGGTAATCCACAACTTATACATAAAAAGCTCTAATGCAAAATAGAAAGGTAAGTGCTACCGGTATTTGCATGATGGCTTGATAAGAACACACACTGCATTGAGGCCCTGGGGTTTTGGAGTCTTGAGTGGTTGAGTATGATATGAATAAGATAATTTTTGTATGTCTTGAAGCCCATATCTAGATCTTGAAATTGAGCCTGTTGAATTGGTTCACATAGTATATTCATTCTGCAGTCAACAAAAATTTTATCAGGCTTCTACCATGCACTGAAGACAATTCTGGATACCATGTCGTGCGCTTATATTCTGATGGAGACAGGGCAGACAACGAAATAAACAAGCAAAATTGTAATATGTTGGGAAGTGGTAAGTCCTAAGAAAAATAAAACAGGAGAAGGGGGGTAAGGAGTACTGAAGATAGGAATTAGCATTGAAATTTGAGATTAAATGATCAGGGAAGGCATCTCTGAGAAGTTAGGGACTGAAGGAGGCTATTGCAGGCACACGTCCGGGGAGGTGCACTGCAGGCAGAGGGAATGGCTAGTGGAAAGGCAGTGAGGTTGAAATGGTGCCTGATATGTTCAGGGAGCAGCCAGATCCATGTGGCCAGAGCAGAGTTGATCTGTATCATTTATTCTGTATAAGAAATATAATCCCATTGTTAATTATTGGTCTGTATTACTGGGGATCTGATGTGTGGCATAATCCTGGACTCAGAGAACATGTGGCCCAAAGGCAGATCAGATAAGCCTGGTCAGCACCAGCTCTGCCTTCAGTCCTGGGCTTCTCGGATAAATAAGACATGTTGTGTGTCCATAAAGAGGTTGCATGTAAAACTGCTCAGTAAAACATTGGAATAAGCGTGAAATAGGTCTTCAGGCTTGTGGAGAACTGAGTCAGGAGGTCTCAAGAGGAGGGGAGAGAGGAGGTGACCTGGGCCCTGGAAGATACAGGGGAAAGGAGAGTGTAAAGGAAGCCAGGTGGCAGGAGGACACAGTTGTGTCTGAGGATCTGTGAACCACAGCTCAGTGGGATGTTTGTGGCGCTGGATAGATCACACTAGAAGGAGAAGCTGGGGCCAAATTTCAGAGGACCTTGAATACTGCAGGGGAGTTCAGACATCATATTGGAGGCTTTGGGTGATTGGCTTTGGGCACACGGTTTTAAGTACAATGACACCATCAGAGCCCTGTTTGTAGACACACACTGTGGTGCAGGAGGCTGATGGAGGCTCACATTGAGGGCCACCCTTCCTTCCAGCTCCCCAACAGCCGTCTTCTTTCCTCAGACTGTGTTTCTGTGTGGCCACCATGTACAACTGTCAACTGTCCTATTCGACCATTCAGGTGCTGCTTCTCACGAGTGTCTTCCTCATATTATCATGATTCTCTGATTTTGAGGAACATGGTCTTCCTGGCTGGGCAGAAATTTTGTGGCCAGACACAGGTTCCTTGGGGATGATGTGGGTCCTGGAGGGTTCAGGGCTGTGTGGCATTTCTCTTCTGGTCTGTTTGCCTGGTGCTTGCCTCCTTACAGAAGGGACATGGCCTTCTCTTGTTCCTCTAACTTTAAAAAAAAAATTTTTTTTTTAATGAAAATAAAGTAATGCTAGTACATAACATTATTAAGGTGTTAAAGGAAACAAAGCTTACTCCAGATCTAGCCTTGACTCTCATTTTGTCTCCTTCTCATCCAAACTTTTTCCACATGTCCACATCTTAATGTAATTATAATCATAAAGGTATACACTTTTATAGCTTTTGTCACATAAAATTGTTAGAGCGTTTTTTCATGTTGCTGTGTGCCCTTCATAATTATAATTTGTGATGATTGCATTATAATCTCTTAGTTGAATGAAAAATATGTTCTTATTTCTGCTGCTGAAGAAATTCCAACTTGTTTCCAGAATTGCATCGTTGCAAATAATGATGATAACATTACCTGTTCATTCAGATGTGTTTTTCCCTTCCCATTTGTAGACTATTTTGTTAGAGTGAACTCCTAGAAGTGGGATTAGTGGGTCCAGGTGCTTTTTTCCTTATTGAGGTAGCAGTATTTTTTGCCTTGACAGTGTAAAAAGGATTCAGTTTCATAATATTTCAAGCACTGGGTAGTATCATATAAATTTTTTTTTTTACTAATTAAATGGATATAAAAATGTGTACATGTTTTTAGTGTGCACTGTTTTCTTTTATTAAATTTTTTTACTGTTTTTTTTATTTTTGAGAGAGAGAGACAGAGCACGAGCAGGGAGGGGCAGAGAGAGAGGGAGACACAGAATCCGAAGCAGGCTCCAGGCTCTGTGCTGACAGCTCAGTGGGCCTTGAACCTACGAGCCATGAGATCATGACCTGAGCCGAAGTCGGAAACTTAACCAGCTGAACCCCCCAAGACTCCCTGTACTGTTTTGATTCTTAACGTAACAGAATGCTTTCCCACTTACTTATATTATTTTCTTGTCAGATATTCATGTCTTTTGCCTGTTCATCAAATGAATTTTTTTTTTTTTTTACCAATTTGTGTGGATTTGTTTTATATAATCAAGTTAATAATCTCTTGCCATATATGCTGCAAATATATGCCCTAGCCTATCATTTGGCCATTTGTTTTAGTAATACTCCTTTTTTGACAGATAAGGTCATTGATCTTTTCAACTTTAATTGCCTTATCAGTTTTTCCTGGAAAAGTTTTTCTCCATTTTCAGAGAGCTCATAAATTTTCAGTTTGAATTCTGCATATGTGTATGTGTTCATGAATGGAATGTAGAGTCAAGCCATTTTTGTGATGGTTTGGTGAAATATAAATAGTGCTCAAATTATGTAAGTGTATATAGCTCATTGAGTCGTTATGTACTTGGAGTCATTCCTTTTTTAAAAAAGCCCATCGTGGGGGAGCCTGGGTGGCTCCAGTTGGTGGAGCATGTGACTCTTGATCTCAGAGTTGTGAGTTCAAGCTCCATGTTGGGTGTAGAGATTACTTAAAAGATTAAAAAAAAATCCTCAAAAAAAATCAGTCTGGAACTTATTTTGCCATAATAATAGCCTCATTTTATTGGCTCCTTAAATTGCTACATGATTCTTCCTGGGCAATCATGTTTACCTTCCGTTTAGATCCTACCCATGTGATGGGCCTGTACCCGGACCTGCTGCCCACAGACTACAGGAAACAGCTACAGTACCCTAACCCACTGCCTGTGCTCTCGGGGGCTGAATTGGAGAAGGCACACTTAGCTCTGATTGACTACCTGACACAGGTAGGTATAGTACAGAGGTGTGTGGAAGAGTTTGCCTGGGACTTCTAGAACCTGCTTTTCTATGACATGGAAGTGAGGGCCTTCTCTAAACCACAGGCATATTCTGTAAATGAATCCTATAGCAATCACGGTGGGCTCACACATTTCATTCTCCTTCATCTCCCTGTTCATTAATACCATTGAGCTGTTTGTTGCCAAATCTTAATACCAGGAAATTTACTTGATTTCTGGTAAATTTACGCTAAGGTGTTAAAGGAACTAAAAAGAATAAATTTTAGTTGATAGAAAATAATAATTTTTTTGAAACACTTTTTTGGAGCATACATACTTGTGGAAAAATATGTGCTTTCCCCAGGAAAATATAAAGCAAAAGTGCAAATCACTGATAACTCTCCCACCCAGAGAAAAGTAATCATTATATTGTTGTCCTTCTAGATCTTTAGAGCTACACTAACCTTCTTTATTGCGCTTCACAGATGCTTTTTTTTTTTAAACAAATTAAAGGTTTGTGCCAACCCAGCATTGAGCAAGTCTGTCGGCACCATTTTTCCAAAAGCATTTACTCACTTCGTGTCTCTGTGTCACATTTTGGTAATTCTCACAATATTTCAAACTTTTTCATTATTATTTATAATTATGATCTGTGATCATTGGTCTTTTTAATTTTTTTTTTTTTAATGTTTATTTTTGAGAGACAGAGATAGAGCATGAGCGGGAGGGGAGCAGAGAGAGAGTGAGACACAGAATCCGAAGCAGGCTCCAGGTTCTAGGCTGTCAGCACAGAGCCCGATGCAGGGCTTGAACTCATGAACCGCGAGATCAAGACCTGAGTTAAAGTCAGATGCTTAACCGACTAAGCAACCCAGGCACCCCAAGGAACCATTCCCTTTTTTCTTTCAAAGTCTTTATTTATTTTTGAGAGAGAGAAAGAGAGAGACGGAGTGTGAGCAGGGGAGGGGTAGAGAGAGAAGGAGACACAGAATCCAAAGCAGGCTCCAGGCTCTGAGCTGTCAGCACAGAGCCCAACGCGGGGCTCGAACTCACAAATCATGAGATCATGACCTGAGCCGAAGTCGGTTGCTTAACCTACTGAGCTATCCAGGTGCCCCCCAAGAAATCATTCTTGAAAGGAAGAGTCAGTTGATGTGGCAGATTTCATTACTGTCTTATTTTAAGAAATTGCCACAGCCACCCCCACCCTGAGTCATCAACGTCGAGGCAGGACCCTCCACCAGCAAAAAGATTACAACTCACTGAAAGCTCAGATGATAGTTGGCATTTTTTAGCAATAAAGTATGTTTAAATTAAGATATGTACATTATTTTGTTAGACATAATACTACCATACCGTTGTATGCAGTGTGAAATAAATTCATTTGACTTGCTTTATTGAGATGTTCACTTTATTGAAGTGGTCTGTCTGGAACCAAATCCACAGTGTCTCTGAGGTATGCTCCTATATGTGTTTGTGAATTCAGTTTTTAAAAAATTTACTTATTGGATTATCATTGCCAGTGGATATCAAACTAAAGTTGTTTTATAGCTTACTTTTTAAAATTTAGCTTACTTTTTAAAAATCTGGCTGTATACTGAGAAAGTTCTTTCCTATCAATAAGTATTCTTCTATAACATGGTTTTTTTTAGAGGAGTATTTAGATTTAAGTTTATTTTTCAGTTTACTGTTATGGATTGGTAAGTGAAATTTTCAGGTAAACACTGAAACTAATGTTTCCATTAAAGACTTTTCACCCTGAACTTCTCTCACAAAGGGTTACTATTAATTTCCTGGGCACTCACCCAGAGTCAGAGAACTTAGCAAATGTTTTCCCCTTATATATTCTGAAGACCTCTGTAAGGCGTCCCCTGGCCAGGCCCTGAGAATTACTGCTAGGCAATTGTAAGCCACCTGCTTCTGGGTTAGTAAATGTCCTTTGGGTCTGATCAGGCATGCATGGCCTTGGCATTTCCTTGACCTTGGGCTCCAGGGCTATCCAGCTGTGGCTGGTGGCCTGCAAAGAACATACAGACATGCCTCTGTCTGCACCCGGCAGAGCTCATGCGGCTGTGCCAAGTGAGAAATGTTCCTAGGGCAGACCATCTCCTAAGCCCGTGGTGATAAAGAAGGCTCTCTATTGCCACTGTCTTGCATTAAGACTCCAAGCACACACTTTTCCCTGGACTTCTCTACTGAGATTTGGAATGTGTGAAGTTAACTGACACTGTTACTATGCCAGAGAGACGATGGAGTGGATAAGACTGTGGGCACTGCCAGACACAAGATAATACAAACCAGATGATTCTGTTTATATGAAGTTCTAGAATAGGAAAAACTAGTCTCTCATGATAGAAATCAGATCAGTGGTGTAAGGGGTGGGATCCTTTCAGAAGAACGCAAGGGAACTTTCCGGGTTGATAGAAATGTTCTGTTCCTTGATTGGAATTGTGGTTACATGCACGTGTGTGTCCGTCAGAATGGATCTCATACTTTTAAAGGACACATTTTATTGTATGTTACTTCTACCTCAATAAAGTTGATTCAAACAAGAAGAAGAACATGGGCTTTGGGATTAGACCCTAATTTGAAACTCGCCTCTGCTGCTTGTGAGAGATGTAACATCCATGCCTTGGGTTCTTCACTTGTAAGTGGGGAGAATAATACTTGCATTTGTTTTAGATTTAAAATAGGATAACATAAAGTTCTTGGCGTAGTGCCTGGTGTGCAGTAACTACCCAATCAATAATTGTTACTGTATCTGTGGCAACTTGGCATTCATCTGTTTTGATCCCTAATAAAAATTATGTCCTAATGTGAGATCAAGGTGGGTATGTGAACTGTTTTGGAGGTCTCTGGAATTACCTGGTAGCTCAGGTGATAAGGATGATTTAGTCCTGGCCTTGACCCTACAGTTTTGGGCCTTCGCAGAAACGAAGCCAACTGGTAAAGAAGCTGAATGACTCTGATCACCAGTCTAGCACCTCCCCGCTTATGGAAGGCACTCCCACCATTAAATCCAAGAAGAAGCTGTTGCAAATCATCGACACCACCTTGCTCAAGTGCTACCTGCATGTGAGTCCTCCAGGCATTCGGGTACCAACAATTCCCAGTCTGCTGAAACTGGGAAAATGCTACTTTGGGGTACTTGCCACTAGTAAGAGTGAAATCTTTGATGATGGGAACCACCTGGTCTTTTCATGACACCTGTGAGCTTCTTGGGATTAAGAGGATAAGGCAAGATATTGCCCCAGAATTTGCAGTGGGCTGGTCTCTGGCAAGATTGGGGTTAGTGCTACAGGGTGGATGGGGGCAGTGTTCCCTGAATGCATCACCTTCTTTGCCCCACTCCCCTCCAGAACATTAACATCTGTTGTGTGAACGAGCATGATGCCGTAACAGCCACTACCTGTAGTCCTGAAAAAGGGTGGTTTGCCTTCTCTTGCTTGTGTTGACACCCTGGCCTTTCAGCCTGAGGCAGGCCTGGGCTAGATGGGGCGGGGGCTCCTCCGTGAAGCAGGACTTTCTGCTGAAGTCCTTCATCTGCAGACGAACGTGGCCCTGGTGGCCCCTCTGCTGCGCCTGGAGAACAATCACTGCCACATCGAAGAGAGCGAGCATGTGCTGAAGAAGGCGCACAAGTACAGCGAACTGATAATCCTGTATGAGAAGAAGGGGCTCCACGAGAAAGGTGGCTGGACGAGGGTTCCTCTCATCTGGGAGGGTCTCTTACATGTAGATCGGGGAAGCCTACTGATGTGCGATAACTCTCCCATGGGGACGCACCTTCTGGAAGAGGCTTATGACCTTGTTTTTGGGCTTCATGGCCAGCTCTGCAGGTGCTGGTGGACCAGTCCAAGAAAGCAAACTCCCCTCTGAAAGGCCATGAGAGGACCGTGCAGTATCTGCAACATTTGGGTAAGTCCAGCTTTGAAAGGGAAGTGGGAAAGGATTGTGTTCCAGTGGACCCAGTCTCCCTCCATTTCTGATTCTGGCTGGTCAGTGCCCTCTCTCTCTTGTGTTTGCCCAGCTTTGTTTTTACTTTGGGGTAAAAGCCCTCCTGTGGTGGAACTGTGACAGCCCAGTAGGGCCAAGCAGCCCTCGGTGACTGGTGCTTGGACAGAACTATCCCTGGAAAGTAAATTCTGGGGCAACCTGTGCACCTGCCTTCCCAGTCCTATGGGCAGGTGGGCTTCACCTGCTGACTTTCCCCTCCAGGCACAGAAAACCTGCATTTGATTTTTTCCTACTCAGTGTGGGTGCTGCGAGACTTCCCAGAGGATGGCCTGAAGGTAGGTCACGGGGGTGTCTTGGGTTTATCTAGTACCATGCTTGGTCCTGATTCTAGTTAGGGCAGTGGCAGATGAAGGGGGAAGGAGGATTCATGCAGTTTCTCTGGTGTTCAGAGGAGTAGACTGGGAAATACGAGACAGCAGTGTAATGTAGCACAGAGAGCCTTGCACAGACACTGGGGGACCTGCGATCTAGGCTGTCGCACTAGCTACAGGTGCCATCTTGCACACCCTTCCGCCTTCAGAAGTCCACTTGACCCCTCCACCTGTGTGTGTGTGTGTGTGTGTGTGTTTGGTGGCAATGCAGACAGATCGTTCCACCACTGGAACTCAGGTTTGTTCCCACAGATATTTACCGAAGATCTCCCAGAGGTAGAGTCCCTGCCACGAGACCGAGTGCTTGGCTTCTTGGTGGAGAATTTTAAGAGTCTGGCTATTCCTTATCTGGTAAGATCTTTTTTGGGCTGAACTAAAAACCTTTAAACATGGGATCCAGGACCACATGGGTTAGTTCTTGGGCAATTTGGATTGGGGCTTGTGTCACTTGGGATTGGTAAGAATGTAAGGAAGATGATTTCAGCATCCTCTGAAGAAAGAGATCTTGGTAGATGAAGCTGGAAATGTAATTTTTTGATGAGTGCCTTCTAAATCTAGGTAAAGTACAGAGGAATAAAAGAATGACGCTCAAGAAAAACTTCTCTAAGCCACGTTTGTACAGCCACTCAGCAGTGACCACAGGACAACCACATTGGTTTTAAGTACTAGAATGCAGCTGTTTAACCTTAACTCCGTGGGCTGATGTGAGAGTTTAGAGGATCATGGGACAAAATTAATAAAGGAGCTTAGATTGCAAATCAAGAAAATAATCTCTGATGTTTGTAGGTTGTATTCTAAAACTTCCTGGTGGTTTTAAAAGAGCTATCGCTTAATTAGGGAACAATCTGGATGGGACCTGTTGGGCCTTACAAATGTGAGGGAGACTGGGTGAATGAACTGGGTCACAGTGCAGAGGGTACCAGATTGACCTGTGTTTTGCCTCAGGAACATGTCATCCATGTTTGGGAGGAGACAGGCTCTCAGTTCCACAACTGCCTAATCCAGCTGTACTGTGAGAAGGTGCAAGGTCTGATGAAGGAGTATCTCCTGTCCTTCCCTGCAGGTACCAGTTCTCATAGGCAGCCAGTTGGTCCTGTGCTTTAGAAGTGACCTGGGGACCCGAGGGTGACATGTGGCATAGGGAAGCAGACCCCACTCTTCCCTGCAGGCCCAGATGGTGGGAAGTTCCTCAGGATCCAGGGAAGCTAAGTGATCCAGCAGGGGAGACTCAAGCCCTTGTCTGGATCTGGGCATCTCTGAGCATCACCCTTGTGGGTGGGGGAAGGAACAGGTTTGTCTGCAAGATGACAGCTGTGCCGATAAGAAACAGGTTTGCCTTGTACAAGGGTGTTTGTGCAGCTTGTTTTTCTTTGTACCTCAAGCTGATGTTTTGGGGTCACGTAGAGACCATAAACTGAGAAAAGTCCAGCTGGAACCCACTGCGGAAGCCCTTTCTGATTATTGTGGTGATATCATTCGGTTTTCTTGATGACCCTACATTGCTTGCCCCATAGCATCCTTTCATATTGAGTTTGGTTTTCTTTAAAGGCAAAACTCCAGGGGTGCCTGGGTGGCGCAGTCGGTTAAGCGTCCGACTTCAGCCAGGTCACGATCTTGCGGTCCGTGAGTTCGAGCCCCGCATCAGGCTCTGGGCTGATGGCTCAGGGCCTGGAGCCTGTTTCTGATTCTGTGTCTCCCTCTCTCTCTGCCCCTCCCCCGTTCATGCTCTGTCTCTCTCTGTCCCAAAAATAAATAAACGTTGAAAAAAAAAAATTAAAAAAAGGCAAAACTCCAGTTCCTGCTGGAGAGGAAGAAGGTGAGCTGGGAGAATACCGACGGAAGCTCCTTATATTCTTGGAAATTTCTGGCTACTATGACCCAGGCCGGCTCATCTGTGACTTCCCTTTTGATGGTGAGTGTCTGCCTTATGGCCAGAAGCCATTCAGCAGAAGGCAATGCAAAAACTCCTCTTCCCTTTTTCCCCAGTGCCCTAGTCTTCCCAAAATTTGGGCCTGGAAAAAACCCACGTGTTTCAGGCCAGTGCTGCTGTTCTGTCCCATCTGAAGACTCACTTTTGTACCATGACTGAGAGGAGTCTCTTCTGGGTGTGAACCACTTGGTAATTGATGGCCAGGTTGAAACCTGTTTATTGCATCAGTACATGTTCTTGGTCAAGATCATTATTTAGCAATATTTGTGATCTGGCATAATTTGTCTGAAAAAGACATGTTTGTCTGATGTATAAGCTCCGGAAGAGCAGAGACCAAGTGTTAACTTTCTTTAGCTGGAGTGCTTGGCACATTGTCGGTGCTTACTTATCATGCACTTGGTCTCTTCCGGTGAGGGTTCTTAACCCATTTTAAAAGTGATCACAAAACAGATGGGATAAAGTACCTCTTAAAATATCTCCCTCCACGCTTTTTTAAATTTTAGCAGTTCTCCTTGACAAAATCCCAAGTAATAAAAATGTTGTCACCCATTTTGTCCTATGCCAACAGCCCCTGTGCTGTAGCGCATGGTGTGATGGCTGTAACACAAAGCCTTCTTTCTCCCAGGGGCCGCCTCTTAGGCTGCTGCGCATGGGGAAGCATCAAACAGCCCTCTCTTCATCTCACCGTCCCACATCCTGGAAGGCCTAAGATGGCTGAGGAGTCACGTTGATGACTGCCTGCATGCCCAGGGAGTCTAACAAGCTGGCCCCCACAGGGGAGGCGGGAGGGATTAGAAGGCCACCTCCCCCCCCCCCTCCTTGGCCCCCGCCCTCCGTACTGGCCCCCCAGGTGTGGCATGCATCAGGAGGCTGGAGCAAGCAGTGTGACCTCTGTCTAGACATGGCTGCTCCGGCCTTGTCTCACCACTTTCTCCCTTGCAGGTACTGCCACAAGCATTATGACCAAAATAAAGATGGCAACAAAGATGTAAGTAGTGACCCTGGCCCCGGGAGCATGTGCGCTTTTCACTGTCCCTCAGAGTACACCTCACCCTCTCTCGTTTGGCCATAGGTGACACTGGTGTGAATTGCTAAGATCACTGATTGGTTTTGCATGTGTTTATTGAGGAAGAGGCAGGGTGACCGTACATCCTGGTTTGCTTGGGATATTTTCTGGCTTATTGTCATCCACGTGATTATAAGTAGCGTCCCTGCCCCTTTACTTTCAAAAGAGTCCTAGCTTGTATGGTAAATTACGTCATCAGCCTGTTGAGAAGGAATAGCTAATGGTTGTGATAAGGCGCACTTATGTGCGCCATCTAGAATGCACTTGGATTTGTCAGTGTCTGGAAACACTTTTGATCGTCCTGCCTAGGGATATGGGGGTAACTGGAATCTAGGCGGTAGAGGCCAGAGTTGCTGCTAAACAGGGTGCTAAAATTCAACAAAGAATTATGCGGCTGCAAATCTTGAGTGCTAAGGTCGAGAAATCCTGCATTACTGGTACCAGTAGGAAATTAAGACATCTCATCTCGGGTTCATCTTCTCTGCCAAAATGTGATAGGGGCTCAGCCTCAAACCCAGATTCCTTGGAGGGATCTTTTTTGAGTCATTTTGCAGTGTTGGCATTTTGTCAGTAGTGTAATGCTTAACAAATGTAAGGCATTTGAGTTTTGTCTCTCAGGAAAAATAGCCCTTAATTTATAACATCTGCTATTGACTGACTTTACCAAAATCTTTTTAAAATGTGAAAAATGATGAGTTTTAAGTGTCCCCTGTCAGCTATTACCACAGACTAACCCCTCTTACTTTTACATGTGGTCATGCTGGGGGGTTTCTGGGAGGCTTTCTGCCAGCCTGACGTATGTGGTTTGTACTTGTGTGAGACACAGGTGTATCTGTCCCTGCTCCGGATGTACCTGTCACCCCCCAGTGTTCACTGCCTGGGGCCAATCAAGCTGGAACTGCTGGAGCCACAAGCCAACCTCCAGGCTGCCCTGCAGGTCCTCGAGCTGCACCACAGCAAGCTGGACACCACTAAGGTCAGGAGTTCTTCTCGGGAAGATGGAGGGCACTTGGGGGAGCATTGAATGAGAGGAGAGGACAGAGAAATGGACTGGGATTCGAGAGCTCTGTGGCTTCAGACATTTCCTCAGGCTTACTCTTGTTCTGTTTCACCGTGTTCCCATCTCTGTTCCTGTCCCTAGGCCATCAACCTTCTCCCAGCAAACACTCAGATTAATGATATACGCATCTTTCTGGAAAAGGTCTTGGAAGAAAATGCACAAAAGAAACGGTTCAATCAAGTGCTCAAGAACCTTCTCCATGCGGAATTTCTGAGGGTATGAATTTTCCCAACTCTAAGGTGCAGCTATACTTTTTAGTATGAGAGATAGTTACCACATAGCCCTGTAGACAAAAGCAGAGTTTTGTGTTGCTTTAACACTGTAGCTCAAACCGATACAATAACCAACTTGACATTTAGTTGCAAGTGTTGTAGTTAGAGGCCTCTGTGGGAGCTGGGAGGTGAGACCCAGCCAGCCTCTGCTTGGTGTTCTGTGTGCTGGAAGGTGGGGCTTCTCTCCCAGTCGCTCTGCTCTCCCAGGTCCAGGAAGAGAGGATTTTACACCAGCAGGTGAAGTGCATCATCACCGAGGAGAAGGTGTGCATGGTGTGTAAGAAGAAGATCGGGAACAGGTGAGCCTTCTTCACAGCTATGCAGTTTCAGCCTTGATAGTGGTCAGGCTCGGGACGGATTTCTGCCCTTTAACTGAGGGGGAAAGCATGGCTGCTGACTCTTGGCCATGGTTAGTTCTTGAGGCTCCAGAGAGCAGTCCATGTTGTGTTTTGCGGGTGGGCTTGAGGATTTAAAGACTTGAAATGGCGTGGGGCTCTTGATTTTCTGCCTATAAAGCCCTTCCCTTCTGGCAACTATGCGTTGTGATGTAGCCAGTGTGTGTGTGTGTGTGTGTTGTATGTGGGCAGAAAGTTCTTATCTTTTAAGGATGTGCCTCTGCAGGAAGAAAAAGACTTGAGTAAAATCCTGAGCCAGCAACGTTGTGTTTCAAAGCATATATTCTAATCCATCCCCTTTCCTGCAAAGCATGGTGTTTTGTCCTTTTTCTTATGTGGGTGGAAGAATCCAAAAAGACCTTACTTCTGTCTTTTGTTAGAATTGGCCTGAAACTTGTTCTAATGAGCATTGTCACATCTGCATGAGCTGGTGCTGACTCAGGCCGGTGTCCTGCTCCATCTGCCCCATTTTGCACATTGATGACTTAATAAGAAATACTCCCATGCCTTCAAACTGCATGGAGCTCATCCTCTGTTTGGTTATGTGACAGAGATGGTGGCTCTGTAAATCCAGAAGACCCTCAGGGTGGGCCATTCCTCGTGGTTAGGGCGGGCCGCTTCTGGGGTCGCATATGGGTAAGGCGCCTTCTCTTAGAGGTGGTCCTCACTCCTGAGTGGCTTTCCCTCCCTACAGTGCATTTGCGAGATACCCCAATGGCGTGGTCGTGCACTACTTCTGTTCCAAAGAGGTAAACCCAGCTGACACCTGAGCCCAGCATGCCAGGAATTCTTCAGATGGACAGTTCAGCTATCCCAGAGAGGGGAAGGAGCACTGGCCTTAGAAATGAGGGGCTGCTTCCACCACCAGGTGTCTCCCCATTTGGACACTACTGGCTACCTTGAGCCCTGGCACATCTCTGAATTTATCAGACTTGTGGTCTGGTGTTACCAGCTTTTTGATAGAAAAAAGAGATTAGCTATACCTTATATACCATTATGTTGCAGGCAGTTGCAGAGAATTTACTACCTGCTTGGATGGGAGGAGGTGACGAAGGGCAGTGTCCTGCCTTTGTACACCAATCACCTGATCAAGGAAAGTGTCTCAAGAGTCCGTAACCCTGAGATTGTTTATTCAGAGTTTTCTGTGAAGGCACATGCAGGACTTTGCATGGAGCCCCCTGCGCAGTTGGCCTGGGGTCTGGAAGGAGAGCAGTCCTAGGTTTCTTCTCACTGCGCAGGCCGGACACTGGCTCTCTAGGTGATGACAGTCATTTCTCCATAGTCACCACTCCGTCTGTCTCCCTGGGAGGCTCCCCACTCATCCCTTTATGTTTTTAGTCTCCGTTTCTTTCTCGCTATTTATTTTCTTCCTTTATCTCCCTTCACTGCTCTACCCCAGCTTTGTCTCCCATTTTCCCGACACCGGGAATAACTAATATTTTAAACAAGGTAAAATGAGAAGCAAGAGGAGGTCTCAGTTTCCAGGATACACCGATAATTGATTGTCAGGTATATTGTAAATAGATCCTCCTTGGACTGAGAGCTCTATGCTTAGAGGCTTAGGAGAGGGTCATCCTCCGTCCATCAGGGCCAGGTGTGACGGTGGCCCTAAGGATGGCCTGTCATATCTCTTAGACATCTGAGGGGCCTCCTGCTCCTGGTTCACCCACCAGCCACCCAGGGCAGGTTGATTTAGTCTGTGGGCTGAGAGCTTTGTGCCTTGGGCACCTTTCCCTTTGCAGCCAGTGCGGCCCGCTTACCTCTCACAGCTTGGCCTGGCAGTTGTTCTCTCCAGCTGGCTTGTTGCGGGTGGGTGGGTCTCTGCTACACACAGGACTGCTCACATCGGGAACTGACAGGGATGTGATGTCAGGCATGCTTGCGAGGTGCCCGGGGACAGCCAAGAGCGCTGCAGGAGGTGGCAGCAGCACATGGGTTTGTGAAGTCACTCCCTACCACATCCATGGAGGGGGCAGGGAGACTCCCCACCCCCGCGGGTATCCGAGACAGACGGGAGGAGTGTCTAGCATTGCAGGCAGACACACAGGGAGAGCAGCCCTGTGTCCTGTCCTCCGTGGGGTTTACAACGCACAGTCTTGTTGCTGCTGTGTTTTTAATGGTGATGAGGGTGGGTGATGGTGCCCAGCCCCAACAGTGTTTTAGTAGCCTGTCCTTGACATGCCACGGTTCTTTTTAACCCGCAGCACTGTGCCATTTTGGGCCTTTGCTGTAGGCTGACATACTGGTGTAGTAGACTAGGCTCCTCCTGGGCACACTGTCCATGGAGGGTCCGCGGGGACAGAGTGCATGCCCTCGGCATCATGCACGCAGATGGGGACTGCTCAGGTTTGGGAGACAGAGCAGCGCTTCAGGAGAGTCAGGCCCAGCTGGCCGTGCCAGCCCATGAGAAGCAGTGCTGCCCTTGGACCTGTTTGCACCAGTTCGGAGGAGCTTCCCCTGGAAGCAGCAGTGAAGTCATGAGGCCGGCCCTCCTCTGTGCAGCAGAAGCTCGCCCCACTATGCAGACCCAGTCTTCCTGGCTTGCTCTGTTTGTATCTTCCATTCCCACGACCTGTGTGGCACATGTGTTTGAAGCAATAGAATAAAGAATGCGTGTTTTCTTCCTTTGGAATATATAAACGATCCAGCTTTCCCAAACTCCATTTTTCCTTCCCTGGACGCTCTTTGCCCTCTGTGGAGATGTGGAGAAGGCTAGACATGAAACTCTGTAATGACTCTTGAGGATCTTATAATAAACATCATAAAGTAAGAAACCAACCTGTTTGGGTCTCTTTTCCACGCGTCCTGTGATGGAGATAACAATGAGAAGATACTGATTTAGGTAAGAATTGAGAAGAATAAGCCAATTCGTGACAAAGAGAGAAAAGACAGTAGAACACCTGTGGCACCTGTGTGTCTCAGTCTGTGCCGTCCAGCACAGCTAGTGTGGCTGTGGTGGCTGATGGTGTGACAGCACAGGTATAGAACATTTCTGACATCACCAAGTTGTGTTGGACACACAGGAACTCTAGCTAATCCCAGTTGTCTCCCCGGGCGCTTCACATATTAGGGCCTCATGGCCTCTTCCTGCAGCTCCTGCTGACCGGGAGAATCACGAAACATACACCCAAGGATGTTTGAGAAGTGGAGAAGGGTTGGTCCATTTTGGCCAGCTCCAAAAAGGCAGTTTGGTCTTTCTCTGTCCCCCTCTTTAGCCATCTCTGGTCATCCTGAGTATTCTTTGAGAATGAAAAGCATCTGGAACTAAGAAGCATGGCTTTATTGAGGCACAGGACCTGTGACTCCCAGGAGAGAGTGTTGTACAGCCCAGAAAATACATCAGTCAGGAGACGGGACGCCAGACTGCCGTGTCCGCCCCAGCCAGCTCTGCGCCCTTCCTCATGCCCCTCTGGTGTGGATCCACGGGTCCCCTGCATGCTGTGCATGGATACCACCAACGGGGCGGCACTAAGGCATTTCTGAGACCTCAGCACAGGTCTTGGCTTCATGGCTCAAATTAAGCAGAAATAGGCCCTCCTGTTGGAGCCTGGCCAGTGGCAGTCATCCCCTTTTTTTCTGGGAGTTTCTGGTCTCAACTTGCCTACAGTGTTCGTTTTGGAATTGAATCACCTCTTTTTTGGATGTTGTTTTTTCAGTCTCCACCTCATGCCTTGGGGAGGAGAGTGGAGATGACTAAGTCTTGGTTGAAGAATAGAAATTATCTCCCATCAGCTCACTGCCCCAGAAATCTTTTCTTCTGGAAGCTGCCTGGATGGAAAAATACCACCTAGAGTGTCGTCCACAGAAAAGGGGACATCACGTACCATCTGTAGCCTGAGGCTTATGATGGTCAAAAGAGGACCCTCTGAACTAAAGCCTTATTTCTAGTAGCTTAAGGATAGGCAGACTTGTTTTAGCTGTCACTATTGATACCACCTGACTGTATCCCCATCTGTATACCCGGACCATCCAGGTATATCTACCCATTCAGGAAGAGGGCCCTGGCCAGAAGCTGCTGTGAATTTCCTCAGGATATGGATGGGTCCTCCTCACCTTTGGTTCCAGGGCCTAGTGCAGGTTTGGTTCACAGCAGACGGTCTGTGTTTGGAGAAAAAAAATGAGGGAGGCCACAAGAGATTAGAAACACCTTTGAGTCCAGATAAAACTGAACCGGAGATTTCCATGTTCCTGCTTAAGAAACACGGGGAAGGTGGGACTTGGAAAGCAGATGGTTTTAGGACTTCTTTCTACCTGGAGGAGCGGAGGCCCCGAGGCAGAACTTACTGGTTTCCATTCCCTGGGCTTGCTGCATCAGCATTGTCTAGAAGGCTTGTTGGAAATATGAACACTTGGGTTCGACCCACACCCACTAAATCAAATCATCTAGGGGGTGAGACTCAGGTATCTATTTTCCATGAGCAGCTCAATAATAACCAAAGGCTGGGTTTGGGAGCCAGAGTACCAGTTCCTCATCCTCTTGGAGAGGGACTGAAGTGCCTCCTGCCTGAGGGAATTAGGCCCCAGCCACTTCCTGGAGCATATCAAACTCCACCTCCAGCCCCAGCAGGCCGCCCAACTCTCAGTCCTCGAGTCCTCCTGTGAGCAGCCAGCTCCACCCTCCCCACCTTGGTGTTACCGTCAGACCTGAGCTAGCAGTGAGTGGAGCCAGAGGAGAACAGAGTGGCTCTGGAAAGCAGGCAGGGCTTCCTGCTGAGAACTGGGCTGGCTGGCCATGCTCTGGGCGCTCTGGCCAAGGTGGCTGGCAGGCAAGGGGCTGCCCCTCCTGGGGGCAGTGCTGCTGCGGAAGAGAGACAAGAGGGGACCTCAGTGGAGGCAATGGAGGGTAAAGTACTTGATCTTCCCCCGGGCGTGTGGACTGCAGGAGTCCTGGGAGCTCAGTCCCCTCTGAAGACAGGCTAGCCCAGGGTTGGGTTTTGATCCGGGCTAGGACCAATTTGCTCTAGCCAACCTGGTGGAGCTTAAAGTGATTGGCCAAGACCTTGGCTTTTGGAAATAATTCCACCCCCCACCCTCCCCAATTAGGAATGGAGAGTGAGGTCATGTGATACGTACAGCTGTTGGCTTTGCCCAGATCGCCCTAGCCTGGATGTAGAGCCCCTCAGGGGAAAGGAGGAAGGTGTTTGCTGGGATTTTGAGGGGCTAGCCTCACTACCAGGAGGCTGCAGCCTGCTGTTATCTCTCTTTGGCCCAAGCTATTGTCTCCTTAGCGACTAGTCAGACCAGTCCAAGCTGGATGACACCTGGTTTCCCTTCACCTGCCGCCTCCTAGGAGGTGTGGCCTTTGTCAGCGAGCTAGTGGGTGGGATGGACTACAGCTTTCCCGTCTAATATTTAATCTAAGTACATCACTCCAGCTCTCCCTTAGGTTCCCAAGCTATAGCAGCAGCATGACAGGGAAGCTGCCAGTTTGTGGTACCTCATAACCATAATTAGTAACAATGGCCACATATATGAAGCACTTATACCAGGCACTTTATACAACTTCTCATTTAAAACTCCCCACAACCCTGTGAGGTTGTAACCCCCCGTTTATTGATGAGGAAAATGAAGCATGGGGAAATCCAGTAATTTGCCCAAGTCCATTCAGCTAGTCCCTAGTGGAACTTAGCTTTGAACCCAGCCTGAACTCATCACCAACATGCTAAACTCCCAATGCCAGGACCCTGCCAAGACCTCTCAGCTCCCAGGCACAGCGACATCAGTGACCTTGGGCCAGGCTCCTGCTCTGTGACTGGAAGGGGGAAGACTA